GTTGGGTTCTCTTACAGTAGACAGTATGATCTCATGAACTGTTGCAAAATCTTTAAAGTGTTAAAGATTAATTGAGTGCCAACTATGTGTTGTTTAAGTGAGCTGAACCCTGGACCAACAGGGACCGTCCCCCTGCTGAGGAAAAGTAACAAATGACAGTTTTACATCTCTGGGAGCTGGCAGAAAAGAATTCACATAACATTCCTCAGATGATTAAGACCCTCAGTCGACCAGCGGAGCCCCAACTGCATGATGGTAATCTCTTCTTGATCTCTCAGAAACTAACCAGCCTTAATAAACAGCAAAAACTAGGACAGGAGGAAGTCTGATGACGAGACACATTCATAAGTGAAAACACCTCCATGTCTCTCTTACTACTGATTTCTGTGGTTCTGTTGTTTTCTGAAATCTAGCAAATGAAGTAAATGACAAAACTATTTCAAAACCATATTGTTCTTCAAGGTAATATTATCATTTAGTATATATTAGTCTACATAGCATGGAAGATCTTGATAACAAACCTTTCATGTGTTCTGTTTGTCTTTTACTGGACCATTCATCAAGAAGTAGCTGGAAAACTCATAAATTTTTTAAAAACTTTAGACAGATGAGTGAGGTAAACTGTTTCCCCTTTTATTCACCATATTCTGACTCCACTCAACTATTGTTGGGAAATCCAGGTATTGATTGTTGTTAATAATTTGTTAATAATAAGTTAATAATTTGATTTTGAATGTATACCAAATGTAAATTTTGCTACTTTGCTTGTAAAGTAAGTCACCTGATCTTCATGGTGGAACCTGTTATGTAAATCTGGAGATTCTGCTATCTGTGTTGGAACAAAACGCCGGCTACCCCAGCTTGATTCTGAAGTGATTAGACTAATCCAGGGGTGTCCAGTCCTGGTCCTCCAGGGCCACAATCCAACATGTTTTAGATGTTTCCCTCTTCCAACACACTTGATTCAAATGATCAGCTCATCATCAAGCTCTGCAGAAGCCTGATAACGATCCTGATCATGTGAATCAGGTGCATTGGAAGAGGGAAACATCTAAAACATGCAGGACTGTGGCCCTCGAGGACCAGGGTTGCCCACCCCATTTTAATGAATGGTGTCATTCATTAAAATTGCACCCTCTATTAAAAGCACAAGTGATAATGACAGAAATTACCGTTCCTTTAATCAGAAGTGAGGGCTTATAGAAGGCTTTGATGTGCACTGTGGGAACCGTGATTGACAGCTGTGATTGAAAGCTAACTTTCCTGATGCTCTCTCTCAGGCTGGGCCTGGGACAAGATAACAAGATAATCTGAGATGTCCCCCACCCTGTGCCCAGATCTCTCCTTTTCCCTTGCTCTTCCTCTCCTCCGGTCTTCCTCTCGCCTCCTCTCCTCACATCTCTCTCTGCAAAAGACAAGGACTTTTGTCCAAGGTAGCCAGACGTGGCTTTAGGGCACGTTAAAAGCAACATCCCACACTGTGACAGTAAACTACAACTTTGGACTGCAAACTGGTTCCAGTGTTAACCAATGGAAAGTATCATACGTTGCTATTTTTATATCAAATGTACGGTTGATGGTTGTGTGAACATGATGTTAATAATTATCACAGAGGGCGACAGTGAGCAGAAACTTGTAAAAATCCAGCTTTACATTAAGGAGCATTATAACTGCAGCAGATTTTTTATCACCCAACAAACTTATCAAAAGGAAATTTCCAAACAGCATTACATCACTGCTGCACCTTTCAATTACAGACTGCAGCAGTGGAGATACCTCATGTGGAGTCACTGCAGCTGGAAACCAGCTGAGCTTGTGATGTGATGGAGGGCAAGGTTGGAGGTGCAAGCTGTAATTAAGAACCTGAAATTAAAAGTCAGCTGAGACACCGCAAGCTTTGACATGGTGGTTGTTTTCCCTCGAGACCCTTTGTAGTAAACATTCTTTGGAGATTGTGTAATGAGAAGGCAGCTGCGTGTCCATCCTCACATCAACCCACGACGGGAGGGAAGAGGGTTTGTTGGCAGCTTTTCCCAGTGGAAACATTTCCTTTATGTTACCACACATCTATGAAGCTTCGTAAACCAGTGAGCGCATGGCTAACAGGAACCAACCTGAGCTTTGGTTTTACAGCTGGGACTCATGAGAGCAAAAGAAAAAAACAGAACATGTAGTCCCACAGTTAGCAGCTTGTACAGGAAGTCACCAACACAAAATGAGTTAATGGATAATGTTCTGCACTAAATAGCTGTCCTAGGTTCCCACGAGTACATGGACAAGGAATTCCACCACATCTCAATGTTATTTTTACAAGATTTAGGGTGAGAACAGGAAGTGAGAGTTCGATTATAGAAAACTGAGAACCTGGTTTCAGCATTTATCAATATGAGTGAAACAACACTAAGAGTCTTAAACTAGCACCTGTGTGGCATCCAGGTAACAGGATACTACTGTCAGCATGCTAACATGCTCACATTGACACATGCTGACATTTAGCAGTTATAATATTTATCATGTTCATCTTTTCTGCTAAATGTGTTAGCATGCTAACATCTGCTAGCAGGCCTGTCATATAGCGAGTAAAACTGCAGCAGCAGCAATGGCTCAGTTCAGGAAAAAGGCTCCTTCACGCAAATGACATAGTGCTGCTAAGGCTGATGGGAATGTCATTATTTCTCCAGATATTTTATCCTAAACCAAAGTTTCTGAAAAAAAACTGTCAGATAATGATGCTTGATGAAAAGTTACAGTACCACCAAAGTTATTATAGTTCCCGCTGAGGGGAACATGAACGTGTGATGCAGTTTATGGC